ATTTATGTTAAAAAGGAAATTTCCAAAAATGAATATTCTCTTTTTCTTTCAATTTCGTAAAAACAAATATATATTCTGAAAATATTGTAAAAAAAATTATTTTTATTCAATTTGAAGGTTAATTAGGATATGAAAATAGCAAAGATTATTGAGACAAGAAATCATAGGTAGAAGGTTAATTTATAAAACACTAATTCAAACTGAGTCAATTTAGCAAATTTCTCTTATTTTAATGGGGAATGCTCTTGCGGTTTAGACCTCGTTTTGAGAAACATAACCTGTTGAAATTGATTTCTACTTAATCGCAGAAAAATTGTGGAAGCTTGTAGTTTGGTGTTTCCATGGCAGATCAATTCTTATATGGAACTAAAGTGATAGTTGTCGATATCCCGTTGTTGTTTGAAGCAAAGATGGATAAATGGACAAAACCCATTGTAGTTGTTTGGGTCAGTCAAGAAACTCAACTTAAGAGACTGATGGAGAGAGCTGGACTGAGTGAGGAAGATGCAAGAAACAAAGTAATGGCTCAGATGTCTTTGGATTTGAAACAGAGTGTGATGGCTCAGATGCAAAGCTGATGTTGTTATCGATAATAATGGATGTCTTGATGATCTCAAACAACAATTCAACGATGTTTTGTCTGAAATCAGAAGACCGTTGACGTGGAACGAGTTTTTGCGTTCAAGGCAAGGAGCCTTCTCGGTCCTTGGTTCGGTGATTTTAGGTGTCTTTGTTTGCAAACAGCTCAACATTGGCTCTTAGCTATTCTGCTTAGAATATTAACCAGCGTGGTGTGGTCGGTTACACATGCATTTGAAATGGATGATTTCGAAATAAAAATTTACGATTCCGACTTATAGAGTATGCCTTTCTTTCTTATTCTCTGCTNCTTTGTTTGAAAGCCTCAGGTATAAAAGATGAGTTTCTGTCTTTCTAGTTGTGGGGCTTTTTCAAACCCATGTCCAACTCTCCCATTAGTATGATATTGTCCGCTTTGGGCCCAAGTGTTAAAGCCCACACGGATTTCTCTTTGGGCTCCTTCCCAAAAGGCCTCATACTAATTAGAGTTGGACATCTCTTATATATTAGACAATTCTTGTCTAAACTTCCGATGTGAGACTTGGATTGATATCCCAACAATCCTCCGCTCAAACCAAAGACCACATAGACCTATGTCCTCCCAGCTCCAGCGAAACTTGGCACCCATCTTGTACCGCCGTAATCACCAATGGAACCCGCCGCCTAACCTTCCGTTTAGTTAGGAAGACTTTCGACACAAGGCACCGACACCTTTTAATCGCGAGGTCATCTTGAGGGCTCTCCTCCCACAACGAACTTGTAGCCCACACCCACTTTTCCTGGTCCATCTTTTCTGAACCTGGTCTCTGATACCAATGTGGGGCTTTTCAAACCCATTTCCAACTCCTTTATTAGTATGATATTGTCCGCTTTGGGCCCAGAGGCAAAGCCCACACGGATTTATTCTTGGACTCCTTCCCAAAAAGCCTCATACTAATTAGAATTGGACATCTCTTATATATTAGACAATTCTTGTCTAAATTTCCGATTTGAAACTTGGATTGATATCCCAACACTGGTGTTAGTTGCTATGTCTTTGAGAACTAAAAATATTATGATGTGTTTTCTGACACAAAAAAAAAAACAAGTTTATGATGTCTTTGTGACGTGGATTACGTATTACAGATCCGGGTCAGTCGAATCCAAGCTACAACTGTTGGGATCCGAACATGTGACTTTTAGACTTTGAATAGATCTTAGTTCAGACTTTTCTGATATCTGAACTTTCGAAGCTCATAGTATCATATCGAATTTGTATTCTAGATAATTATGTCACCCTTACATATACATAGATTTATCAT